AAAAGCATTGAGCGACAAGAATGCAATTCTTCTTTTGACCACCTGGCATATACCGAATGTCGCAGGACCCCTTGGAAAACCGATGCCAAATTTCCCGACGAGGTAAAGTAACAAGAATAGTCTTGGCATCAACATCAACAGGTGCCGAGCCATCAACAATGTAGAATGTTGACGAGGAATCCAAGATTTTCCAAAAAGCATGCTTTCCTCCTTCGAATACACCATTGGGAGTAAGCAGATATCTTTTTTGATCAACTCCACTCTCATACACGACTGTAGCACCAGAGCGAGCAAGATGCAACAGCAAAAAGTAACCAAAATATGTCTTGCCAATTCCAAGATTTCCAAGGATGATCAAATGACGTATATCAGCAGATTGCACAATAGATAGTGATTTTTCAAGAAGTTTAGGATAACAAGGACGGATGTAAATGGATGATCCGATTGAATGGTTTCCAAGGATGAATACGTCTGCTGGAAGTTGGACAACAGTGTTTCCTTCAAGAGGGTTAGGGTAGTATGTGAAAGCAGTCCAAAAATCCAGTAGTGCGGGTGAGGCTGCAGCAGATGTTGGATCTAGGTAAGTTCGGGTAGGTTGTCTTGGAGGTAGTGGTAAACAACCAATAACAACACAAAAACCATCTTGAGTAAAGTATTATTGAGGAAGAGAGTCGAGTAAAGCCCAGGTGTTGATTAGTTGGTCCTTGTTGATGTTGGTGTATAGTTGCAGTTGAGGAGCATCAATGTCAGCCATAGCAGGACCATACTCAGACTTGATAGCATCCTGAACGTCACTCAGGTCTTCAAAGTCAGTCACATCGATTTCAGTAGAAATAGTGCCATATTCAACATTGAGGAATCGTTTTGGCATTTTATGAAAGAAAAAGAGTAAAAAAGCAATTTATTTGTCAAATTGTAAAACAAAAATCGACTTTTTAATCGAGTCAAAATAACAAAATTTTGGGATATTTCAATACAATTCACACGATTTAAATATTTGGAAATTAGTCAAATTCACACCAGAATTAATGTCTCATTAATGTGAGACATTACTAGTGTGAGAGTGTTGACTTGCATTGTGTGAGACATTAGTAGTGTGTGAATGTGAGACATTTCTGAATAGTTTAACAATCAAAAACCATCAACAATGACGTTTGAACTGGAATTCACATGACTTTCTTGTCTTCCATCTTATAAACACACTCACTTTCTTGTTAATAAACAACACAATCGAATATTGATTCATTTCATCACATCCTTGATCAACTATAACACACTTGACAATAATGACAACCATCAATATGCCATCATATGTCCACGATCCTCAAATCCAAAAGTCAATTTGAAAACCCCATTTTTAAGCATCTACAAGTCTGCAATATCAGATTTGTGGCTGGTACATAATAGGTTGCCAATAAAAGTCGACAAATTGAGCAACTGCAATGTGCCTTGCTGTATGATAGTAACATATCAAAAATTATGAATGCTTTCAAAGTCAAAAGTCTACAAATGATGTCACTGCTGGCTTGTAGTCTCTGTTTACAAACCTACAATCGACATATTCACTGGATTCGTATAATGGTAAATGCTGAACCACAAACCGCTGATGATATTATTATGAACAATGCTCATATTATTGGAAATCAAACGATTGGTGCAGTTTCAGATGCTGTTTCATCACACAGAAAGTCTTGCTACAGAGTCTGAATCCAATAGCAGTGAATCTGCAATTTGACCCAACACAGTCATTAATTATCGTTTGAAACTCGAATCAAGTGATGATGTTGCTGTTTCAGATACACTCAATGTCATCAATGCAGTAACATTATAACCAACTCAAATCATTGATCATGAACCAATTTACCGTGTCTTGATAAAAACACTGATAAACCATTATTCATACATGAGCTTGTCAAAAGTATGGACTGATTGCTGAACAGATGTTTAAAGTGGAGCTCAAAACAGTTCAATTCAATGTGCAGCTTTCCAACGACTTTCCCGCTACAAAAAATACAGCCTTGGAACTCAAAGTGTACATCAACAATACTTGTGTGTATTGACCATCAATGATGTTGTTGGTGTAGCATACACAATGTGCATTGCAGAAACGCTTGTTTGTTTGCTGGAGCTATTTCAAGCAAGCAAAAATACTAAAAGGTTCAGTTTGATGAATGTCTGGTGTATATTTACAATGAATTCAAACTCGAGAGATTGTCGTATTTTGCATACAAGACATACTACAATCTATTACAACAATATCGTGTATTTCAATATGCACCCATTCGATTTACAACAGTGGCATAAACATCATCACATTTGAACAATGGTTCAGTCGTACAAAGTCCAATAACAGCCATGAATTGTATCAGACATGAACATACTGGTGCAAAATTCACATCAAATAACACACCGCAACAAACATGTTTCTGGTAGATGGTGAAATTGATGTCATTGATTTTCAAGTACACGATATTGGTGTTGAATGATTCAATAAACTATACTCGTCGACTTTGTGTACTTTTTTCAGTTGCATCGTTTCTGATTCCGAGTTTGAAGCATAATAGTTGCAACAGCGCTGTTGTCCAATTTGCTTGTTTTGTGAATAGTAATCATGATACCACTTGTTTGACGCCTCCTGTTGTTGAACTGGATATGGATGTCAAATTTTGATGCCAAATTTGGATGCATTGCAAGTAATTGTTGTAGTTTTTGATCGAGTCAATGAATGGCATTTATAGTTGCTCTAGAAAACAAGTTGTTTGAAATGTCCTGTCATATGTCATATGTTTTGTTGTTTTCAGGTTCACTAATTGTTGATAATGCATCCAA